GGGGGGGGGGGGGGGGGGGAGTGTGAAATAAATCTCAAATGTCAAGTGGTAATTGAGTAAGTATCCCAAAAAATATTGTATGTTCATCATGTTTGCTTCTATCCATCTTTCCATAGTTGTCTTATTTTTAGAAGTCAGTATCTTGGAATTCAGTGTATATGATATTCTTACTCTTTTAGACCTGTTACTTTGGCAGATATCTAATTAATATCTTTTTAAATGAAAATTTATCAAGCTTTCTTGCTCTTCTCCTTGCTGCCTTCTTATGCAGGTGCTACTGATGGTGAAGAAGTTTTTTTGTGCATATTTAAGCCTGTTGGTGAATTCTAAGAATGATCTGGCGTTGGCTCATGTTCTAAATGTTCCTGAAAGAGGGCTTGGAAGAGAAGCTTTCACTGACCTGAAGCACGCTGCACAAGAAAGACAAATGTCCATTTTTTTGGTATGTATATCAAATCCAGTAGTAATTTTTTCAATATTTTGTCTTTGTTATACATTCAAAGTAATGAAACAGTATGATAAAAACCTGTGTGGTTCCCTTCAAGGCTATTTCAGGGTATAAAGCAAGGTTGAGCTAATGCCTACCGTCGGCACCCCCACCCCTCCCCCCATCTAGATTTTAAGTTGGAACAAGATGCATAGGATTTGTGAAATGGTATGAGTGTATACTTGCACAGGAGGTTTAAAAGTGGACAAGTAAATTTGTGTGCATATATAACTTTTTTTTATAGTTGTGAGAAGCATATTACAAAAATGGGACTCCAGCTGTGCAATGCCTAGAAACCTTGTTGACTTTGGCAAACAAACCATGAGCCTGTCACCTCTTTTGAAGGCACACCTGGTCTCCTGTGCACTAGGCTGTCCTTGGCAAGTTTCGGAGACTGAAGGATGTGCAAAAAAGCCTTCTCTCCAGGCTTCTGGAATCCCTGCATGCCTCTTTGGCCTCCCTGAGGCTCCAGTCTGTTCCGGAGATTTGTAAAACATTTACATGCTGCAGTTGACTGTATAACACTGCTCTTCGCATGGTAGCCAAAGCAGATGTTCAAATTTGAAAGATCAGTAGTTACGATACTTATTCAATAGAACTGTTTTGACTTCTCGATCTTCTGTATAGGGAGATACTTCTTACCAGTTACTTACAATGGGGTCCACACTGACACATACTTAAACAAATTCGTGCTTGCTTCACAGTAACTGCAGTTCTTCAAAATGTTTTGTAATCGGCATGGGTCCAATGCTAATCTTGGAGTTGTTAGTTCTCATGGGCTTAGAGGTGCAGGTTATTGAGGAAGCAATGCAGATGGTCCATCCTTTATGGTTGCGTAGGGAGCATAAGAGGGCACAGGGCACGTGCATGGCTCCAAAAAACACTTCTTATTAAAGGAATCCAGTCTCACCTGCATGGGCTCGCGTGCAGCTTGCTCCACACTGATGACAACCACACTGAAGAACCACAATCACTTTAATAATTCTGTGTGACTTCAAGGCACACAAGATCCACATTGACACCAATAACTTGCCCTCCACCCCTACTTTTGAAGTCTCCAATTACCATTGGCTTCAAATTATTGTGGAATTTAGGGAGGGTCATGACTGCTCTGCCCCCCTATGCCCTCTTAAGGAAGCAATGAGGAGCATAAGGCATATGCAGAGCCCTTACTGCTCTCATTTAGTCCAGAGGGATCTATTCTGACAACAACATTTCAAAGAAACACCGTTACTATCAGGTAATTCCTTTATGCTGAGGCAGCTGAACTCTCATGATTTTTTTTTTTTTATGGTTGAATAAGTATGGAAATATTTGTGAAACCACAGTTCTAGGATTAATTATTTTAGCTACTAATATTGTGTTAATATTGTATAAAAACAGTATGTTTGGACTGGATTTGTTGCACTCTGTCTGAAGGTTGCCAAAAGGGAAACTTCTCTTCTGTGTTCAGAAGCCTTCTCTTGGCATCTTTGCTTTGGAGAAGTTTCATGAAGCCAAAATATTTTCCATTGAGGAGACAAGCCCCTGTGAACCACACACAATCCATAGCAGAGACATGAAAATTGGCAGGTCTTTCATTTTTTGCTAAAGTAATTCCCATTTTCCTTTTTCAAGTCATGGGGCAAAACAAATAAGCTCTTATATTATAAAGTTTAAGACTGTGTGCCATAGTGAATGTTGTGCCCTACAGATGGAATATTATGTCTCTAGAAAGGTAGTACACAATTAATAGTTCTGAAAACTTCTATAAGTTTGTGTTTGTTTATGGGAAGACTATTGTTTTTAGAGTCTCTTCAGCTACTTTATAAATATATGAAAACTAAGAAGTGAGTGTTGGAAGTTAGGTACCTAAATCCATTCTTAGACACTTAAACTCACCTGGTTTTTGTAGTTTTGTACATGTGCAGTCCTTATTCCACTTCCATATTACACTGCAGGGAATGTGTTGGCACTTAGTGCCTCTGAAAAATAGTCCACTGGTGGAACCGACTTTTTAGATGCACATTTTAGATGTCATAAGATACTTTCTGAACTTATGTAAGAGGTCTCATTGAGGTTCAGCTCACATGCAAAATGTTACTTAAGTGCATACATCTGGAATTATCACATTTATAAGTATCCTCAAAATTTACCTCAACTTGACAGAGAGGCTAATATGCTGAATTACTAGGTGCAATTTAATAATTTCCTTGCAGAACTTGTGACCAGTTTTAAGATCTGGTCTTGTAAATGCTTGCTTTCGGGAACAATATTTACCACCAAGTCATTCAATTGACTTTGCTAGAACTGTTTATAATACGAGTCATCATTCTCCTTTGCAGAACTGTTCATATGCAGATGCTTACTGAGGTGAATATGCACCTCAAACATTTGATTAGAGACTTTGCTTTAGCAATTGCCATAGGACGTGCATCTTTCTGGCCTGTGCTAAAGGGATAAAGAGCAGTGCTCCTATTCGTTAGTCCCTCTAAATGGTCTTGTCTACAGATTATATATTTTTGTTAATTTGTGTTTACAGTCTGTAGACTTGTTCAAAACCTTCCTTCTAAAATCTTTTTTCTTACTGTTATTGCTATACTTTTGTGTTTTGCAAAGAAAAAATAGCATACACATTTTAATTTTGATGTTTAAACTTTATTATATAAATATTGCATCAAAAACAAGTGGTGAAAATGCAAAAGTATGTGGCCCTCCCAGGGGCTCAACATGAAACACTTGTCAGCAACAGCAAATACAGTGTCACTGGAGATTGAAACCCTCTCCCCCATTCCTCACATGGGGTTGCTTATGTAGGACTAGCTGTTCATTTTCCACTTTGCAGAAGGCCTCCTTGATGGCCCAGTACAACACAAACTGGTCCATGTTTTGTTGCAAGGTCAAGTGTCCAAATTCAAATGTGACATGTCTGAACCAAGAAGTGGAACAGTTGAAGGGCATCATCGGAACCAGTCCATGCAAACTGTTTTATGTAGCTTGTCAGAATTGCCATCTTGCCCTGGCTGAGCAGGAAATTGGCCAGGCAGATCATGCCCTCCTTAGCCACTCAGTATGGGATAGAGAAGATGTACACCGTCTTAGTGAATTCCAAAATTCAGCATGTCAAAGAGGGTACTAAGGGTAGGACAGAGCAGCTGCAGCAGAGAGCAGTCCAGAAAGGCATAGAAAGAGGTCTCCTCTCCCTCTTCCTTACAGAAAAGGTATGCTGCTGCTGCTGCTGGGTCCAAGTGGCAGACAAAGATACCTGTGGCCGGGGCCCCATGCAACAGCTACCACTAGAGATTACCAGTTCTCTTGGCAATGGGTATCTTGTACAGGGTACATAAGGCTGGACAGGCGTGGTCTGGTGTTGCTGCTACTAGGCGCTGTCTCTGTCATGTTAGGGCAGGTGGTGAGGACGTGGGCATAATATACTTCGACTGTTCACATCATCCAGTGCCCAGACAGGAATTTAAGGTAGATGCCATCACTATTGTTGACCATGGAGAGGGACAGCAGAGGGCTGGGCCCACCACTCATTACTGTCCATAGCAGGAGAAATAGTTGATAGAGGGGGTCTGGCTAGTGAGCTGCCATAGGGGAGGGCTTTTTGTGTGTGGAGATAGTCTTTGAGGGTGGCAAGCGCATCCATGGTGAAGGCAGCTTTCACTTCAGCCAAGAGGCACAAAGCAAAATGGACACGGTGCAAACCAGGCTGTGGCTGAGCACCAAGCAGACCTGAGCTGAGTTCAAAAGGGTCAGTTTGATAGTGTGTGACTGGATCAAGGAAACAATGAGGCTTCTGGAGGTGAGTCTCAATGCCACCTGCTGCAAGACTAAGTTATGGAGCAGGGGCTGCTGCAGCAACTCAGGGAAATTGCACGTGGTTTCTGTGGGGTGTTGGTTGGAGGCAGGCACATCAGGCCCAGGGGAGACTGCAATAGAAGGGTGGCAGGCTGTCTCAGTCAAAGCAAATCAACAAGAAAGTTCCTGATCAAGGTTGAGGCAGGAAAGCAAAGGTCAGCAGTTGCTAAGGGAGCTGTTCCCCAGCAAAGAGCAGACTCTGAAGAGCTTGCAGGCAGAAGGCAGCCATCCTTCTCACCAGGCCGAGAGAGAGAAAAAGAGAGCGTCTTTATTATCAGTTTTCTTTCAGTTGGGGTTTGGCACCTTCCCCCCCCGCAATCCTTCCTTTACTTTTATTTCACAACATGATTTTCTTATTTTAATGGGCTTCATTTTTCCCATAGAGAATTTAGGAGGTAGCTTTATTTCCTTTATATGCAGAGACCAGGAGTTCGTGGTGGTGTTATGATGTTTTGTTGCTCTTTTCAGAATGCTTTGTTTAAACCTTGTTAAATATGAAGAATCATAACTGTCTGACCTGTGATGCTGCTGTAACCGTATCTGATAGATGCACCAGATTTCTGGTGTCTTGCAGAAGTGTTATATTCCTTGAAATTGTTTCATATAAAGGTCTGTTATATTCCAGGACTGAAAGCAGCATGAAATCCAACTTCAGATGCATCTCTGTAGTAAATCCATGGGATTCATTTCGGATTCAGGAATGAGAGACTCAGTTGAGAACTGCATGTTCTCCTGTACCCAGGACTGCTGCAAGGATTTCTGCCAAGCTAGGCAAACAAAATTGCAAATTGTAGGGGGCAGCAAACTAGGCTGCCATGTAGGCTACTATTTTTGCTGCCCTAGGCAGCTTCTTGCCTGTATGCTTAAACCAGCCCTGCTTGTACCAGTTCTTTACAAGAGCATCCCTCCAATTGGATCCCTTAAGGAGGTATTTTGGAGCCCTAAAATTAGCTCCTCAATTAAGTTTTTCTGTACTCCTCAAGGAAACCTGCTGTGTTATGGCCTTCCCCATCTAAATCTGCGATATTATGTCCCCTTAAGAATGGTATCAAGGCTCCAGCTCTGCTTTTATTTCTGCTCTGAAGCAGGATGCTGATGCCATCAGTGCCCCCCACTCCTTCCACTTCATCAGCAGCTCTTCTGAATCTCAACAGAACAGTTCTGTGATTCTGACTTTTCTTTCTGTGTCATGATCTAGTTGTGATTTCAGCTGGGCTGGGCATGCTGAGACTTTGTGCACTGACTCTCTTGCTCCTTGGCACAGTCAATTCCTCAGCAGTTCATCATGTCCACCACAGCAGTGTGGTTTCATGTTCCTTCAGAACCTCTACTCTGGACTTGGCTGACCCCATGATTTTACTCTTGATCCTAGACCAGCTTATCCAGGTCAGAAGAAGAGTGTTTTACCCAGACCCTGTGTTCCCTTCATTTCATTCTGCATACTTTTTAGAGTCAAGTAGAGGTTTGTTGTTCATGTAAGGGTCACCTTTATTCAAGGACCAATCCTAACTTTATTAATGGTGGTTGCTGAATTTCACCTTGGCCAACAAATCAACTTGCCAGTATTCATTTCAAGACTTCTTCCTGTCTTTCTATCTGCACACGACTAAGTCTGAAAGTCTTCAACTGTTTTCCTTCCTTAGCTGAAGGATATAAAGGCAGAAAAGTACCAGTACAGCCACTGTCCCTCTTGGATATTGGGTTTTGGTTACCTGTGTTATGAGACCACTGAAGTGGAACTGCTGTCAAGGATTAGAGCCAAAACAACTTCCATAACATTTCTGTGCAGCTTCCATAATCAATATCTTCTGACCTGCAGGCACATACCTTTGCCAAACATTATGTAATTACAGGTGCCCCCTGGGGTGATACTGTATTTGGTAAGGTGGTTCTTCAGACATTCTTCACATAGGGAACTCTGACCCTCCCAGTAACTGGGCACTGGTTTGGACAGTTGCTTAAAGGATGAAGAAGTTACTTACCAGTGACTCAGATTCTCCAAGATATATTGTTGTTGTTCATGTGCATATCTTCATTGTGTTTTGTTTCCCTCTTCCTCTGACTCGCATGCAGTGCATAATTCTGCAGTTGGGAGGAAACTGAGAAATAGAAAGTGCATACTGCCCTTCATCCTCTTGGAATGAGGGCTACAGTGCACCTTATGGCTATTGCTAAGGCAAAAAGTCCCCAGCCGAATAATGATAGGTGAATGTGCATCCATGGGGTGTGCATCATGGGTAGTATAGAGGGGTAACATACCGTCAACTCCATTTACAGGTAAGTAACTTCTGTGCCCTGTTGTTTTCCCATTTGTGTTGAGAAGGGATTGTTTCTTCAAAATGGTTAACTTACGTTCTCTTTCTAACTTTCTACTCTTCTGTTCCCACTACAGTTTTACCTAACTAAATATTTTTCTGTTAAAAGGTGGCAACATCTTTCATCCGAACCATAGAACTTGGAGGCAAAGGTTATGCACCTTCACTGTTTGATCTTTTAGGGACCCATGTAAAGGGACTTTCAGACTTTGTTAATTTTATTGACAAACTGGAAGAAATTGTCGGTGAAGTCCTGGATCCAAGGTACTGGAATTTCTCTATTTTATTTAGTGTTTCTGCTTTTATTTGCTATATATGCTTTTTAAAACGTTCAAAATAATTGCTTATTTACATACCATTTTTAGAAAAGTAAGTATTTATGCCTTATTTTATAACTGCTAGAGACTGGTAAGAGCACTTTGATAAAGTGAATTCCCAAGTGTTGAGGCTTGTATTTATTTTAAATCCATTAACTAAATCAGTGCATACGTGATACTGATAACATAGGTGGTTCTGTAAAGGGAGGTAAACCACCAAAACATCCACAGGTTTCTGAGTTTGATTAAAACAAATAATGCTTCCATGAATGTGCCTCAGGTTTTTTTTCCTTCTAATTCATAACTACTTACCTTTTCGATAATCTCACTATAGACACCCTCATATACATGTGATAATTCTCCATTCATCACCTAAACTGTTATTCAAACTTAACCTCTGATGCATCTTGTTTATCTGTTCCATATTGAAACAGATAAACTGCGTCCAATGAAGTCTGACTACTTCTATTTAGATATTTGTGTAAATACTTTGCTGACTAGAAGTACATGTCAGTGAAATAGGTCTCAAATTCTGGTTATGGGATTCCTATGTGAAAGAGACTGCTCTGTATTTCATCTCTTTGCTGTGAGAAGCATGCAGGGACTATTGGATAATCTGTGTTTTCAGAGGTTTGAGGCTGAATTCTCTTGGGATAGACACATGGGTGAGGTATTAGTAACCTAGAGAAATGTCTGGGGTGTGGGTAACCATCTTAAAATGCTTTAATTGGATTGGGATGGGGGAAAAAGGCTAAATTTTCCCAAACCTAATAGGAATCAGCAAACCAATTTTTACTGTTTTCATAAGTAATATTTAAATAACCATGTCGCTGTTGGGTGAATCAGAATAATAGTTCAAAATGTTATGCTTGAAATGGATTATATCTCTTATTCTCTTTCCTAAAGAAGATTTGATTTTTTTTTTTTTTCTTTTTTGTTTTCTGATTAACCTACGTATCAAAGTAGAAGACATGTGATGAACAAGTCGGCAGCATTATTTGAATTACTGTTCAGGCCACTTTTGTAGAATTTCTTGTGCCTTTCTTTAAAATGTTGTTTTTACTCTTTGCTCTTAATGTTCTCATATACACCATTTATATATTGTATGTTATTTAAAAGAATATTTATTCTGTCCCAATACCTGTTTGCAGTGGAAGAAAGATGATTAGTGTTTCTTCTTTTGAGTTCCCAGTAGCTTCCTTGGAAAATAACTCTTTGTAGCAAGCATAATGCTAGTGCTACCTCTCATTGGCCTTGTTTTCATTTCTGCATAAGTATCAGAAGAAAGCAATGTAGGATAGTCATTATGAATTGACTAGCAAATTACCTGTCAAGAATGAAGGGGGGGGTGGGAGCTGGCAGGGTTGGAACCCTGCATCCGGCCCTGTCGTCCCCCGCCAACCTGCCACTTTGGGTCCACCTGGTCTGTGTCCACCTGCCCGCTGCCTCCCCCTCCTTGCCAGCTGTTCTGGGGGGTGCTGCCACCATGACTTCTTCCCCCCCCCCCCCCCCAATCGCCCTTGGGCAAGGGGGAAGCCCCACTGCTGGGATGGCCAGGGTGTGTTCCCTGCTGCCAAACTTCCTTGGCATTGGCTCAAACTTAGGCCCATGCATTGCCCAGCCAATCGCCATCTGCCCTCTCGGTGGTGCACGTGCATTTGGTCAGAAGCGTTATGGACAGACACACAGACAGACCAAGCCTTTTATTATATTGGAATATCCAGTTAGACAATGGTCAAAGTTTGGAAATCCTTTACAATAGGAATCAGCAAACTTGTAAGGAGCAGCAGGCTGAGCTGAGGCAGGCTTAGTCAAAAGTAGGGTGCTGGTTGTGACGCAGCTGCTGCTGTCCCAGCCCTCTGCTCTCTTGCCCCCCTACTGCAGCCACTGCCATCCCTAGCTGCTGGCTTCTATCTGTAACAAATTTGATTGCAAGAGAAGGCAGCATGCAAGAGAGAGGAGGGAGGGCTGGGGTGGCCACAGGCAGCTCAGCAGAAAAACTGCTCAAGGATAGAAGAACACTACTGCTTCCCCCTCCCATACGACTTGCCATTGATGTCCCAGTGCTGCAGGTCGATGCAAATGCTTGGTAGGCCGGAACTGGCCTGGAGTCTGTCAGTTGTCAAACCCTGCTTTATGATACTCAGTTGTTCCTAATGCATTTGCCTGCTGATGTTTGCCTATCTGTCTTGGGGTCCTAGTTCCTGTTTTCATTCTGGGAAAAAACAGGACCAGCTCTCTTTGAGATTTTAACATTACCTTTTGTGTGTGCATTTAGACCCATGTGAATATGTGATTTCTTGCGTATGCCCCCCATTTCGTTCCCCAGAGACCAATCCAGCTGCCCCTTCATACTTATTCCAGTCGTTTCTGTTTGGCTCCAAATGCCTCAATATTCTCAAGTTGTAAAATGCTTTTGTCAGTGTCTCTGCATACCTTGGTAGCTGTATGGTCACTGTCAGTGTTTAGGTGGCCGCCTTTGTGGGTCTCCAAAGGAACCTATTTTGTAATCACTCTGTAACCTTACAGAGATATGAAACTAAGATCTATTTTGATTCTTAATAAGTTTCCACTACTGATAGTCAGAAAATAACCACTGAATTTTGCTTCTATTCTTTTCTAACTCACTCTGGATTTTGGGGGTTGAAAGCAAGGAAGGGGATGGTTTGACTGCCTTTCGGTACTTCTTGAAGGCATGGTCAAATAAATACTGTCTTTCATTGGACAAGGAGAAACTAATGTCATCGGATCAATTCTCTCATGTTAAAGAATAATTAAGGGGAGGACAAAACCGTATTCAACCTGTATCAACAGAAAAGGAAAATCTTGGGAAGAATAAGACGTCTGAAAAATGGACTCCATCACTTGGTCCATGTGCTGTATAATCTAGAAAAATCTGTAATTTCTTGTAAACTCATACTGGAGGAAATCAACCCTGAAGATGTTTAGACACCAAAGATGAGGTCCTTGCCTGCTTCTGCTTTTGTCCCTTACACTACATATGAGGGCTACTGTAATATAAAGATGAATTCTGCCTTGAGAAGATAAATAAAGTTCCTGTTGGACCAAAAGAGTGCATGGACTTTCTAAGCTGTAAAATTGGTATGAGGGAAAGATAAATTTCCCCTAATCTACCCTACTCTTGGACTGAGTTAAATGGAAAAGTTGGCTTGTGCATTTCACTTTGTGTAGAAAGAGCAACCACAGAGAGAGGACACTGAAAGGTGCCATACGAGGTAGTTAAGTGCTTTTTATAAGCATCAGGGTTCATGTTCTAAAACTTTTCTGAGAGGTGTATGGATGCAAATGGTTTACCTCCCACACTGAGGGAGTCTGTGCTGGGATTTGATCCTCTGCCTCCAGTGAGTGCAGTTCATAGATTCATAGATGTTAGGGTGGGAAGGGACCTCAATAGATCATCGAGTCCGACCCCCTGCATAGGCAGG